AAGCAGGTAGTGCAGAAACCGACCCCGGTACATAGCGACCCTGCTGTTCAACCAGGGGTACAGGAAGATCTGCGAATGACAGTTATGAATCGAGCTGACTCAGAAGGGTGTATCAGCGAAGATCACTGGTTGCTAGTCCACAAATACTTGAAAGACCTCTTCCTGAACGAAGAAGATTATCGTCGAAACCTTCGCTTCGGCCAAATCACAATTAACAAGGGTGAAGGGAAGCTGGCAGCCGTTGCGGTTCACGAGATTGAGATGGTGATCTCAGTTTGAATCCCACCACCACTTATGGGACTGCAGAAATCGCTGATGTTGTTTGAAAAGTAGAACGACGGGCTTCACATGAGGAATGGAGGATCATAACTTAATTTAAAAAGAACGGCGGTCTTGTCGCTAAGTTTGAACTGGCAATTGGAAATTATATGAAAAATCATCATAAAAACAAAAGAAACAGAAACTTTAAGGGAACCCTCGGAAGCATCCACATTCGTTGGTCATCAGAATCGTTGGAATGTTGAGAAAGTTGAACATGGCACTAAGAAGGCTTTACAATTGTGACATTTTTCTACCTCACCATTTTAAGGTGAAAATGGCCCATGCTATTGCCGAACATCCTCTACTGTCTTGAGGTATACTCTGGTGCTAACATGCATAATATGAAGCGAGTTCAAAAGGCTTTTAATAGCGTCGTCAGATATGTTTATGGTATTAACCGTTACTATCACATTTCTTCGTTCGTAGGATCTTCATTTACTAATTTTGTTAATATCCGATGTCTTTCCTTATTCTATAAAATATGCAAATCTCAATGTCCCTCTTTTTGGCGAGTTCCTTAAATTTTTCAAGATCCACTAAAAACTCCAATCTAACGATTCCAAGATTGGACGTTCACATGGACAGATCATTTCTTGTTAGAGTGTCACGTTTATTCAATACACTACCTAACAACTTAAAAAGGTTTAATGTAACCATTTCATCATACCGAAATAAGCTTCTTGTCTTATTTCAAGGAGCAGCAGAATAATATTCTATGCTATCTTTATCTACCTTAAAAAATACTTACAGTGGCTCCATCGCATAATCGGACAAAAGGAGTATTTACTAAAACCAGAAGATTTTTGGAAGCAGGTAATTTGATGAAAGATCATCTTAAAATACATTTCTATTGATAGTTTTCATTATATTAAGGTTCTGTTTACTGACGAAAGCAAATTTAACTTGCACGGGTCAGATGGAAAGATGTATGTGTGGCGTAAGCCAAATGCTGAATTTAATCATAAGAATACAAAAGCCACTGTTAAGCACGGAGGAGGTTCTGTTATGGTTTGGGGCTGCATGTCGAGTGCGGGAGTAGGCAATTTGCATTTTATTGATGGTAAAATGGACAATTTTGTCTACCTCAACACTTTAAAGCAAAATGTAAAGCAAAGTGCAGACAAATTGGGTATCGCGAACAACTTTGCCTTTTATCAAGACAACGATCCCAAGCACACATCAGGTGTTGCAAAGCTTTGTTTAACTGCCCAAAACTTATACAAACACCATCACAGAGCCCAGACCTTAACGTAATTGAGCATCTTTGGGAAGAATTAGCTAGGAGAGTGTATGGAAAAAAATTTAACTCCTTAGTACAGCTTAAGGTGGCTTTACTGGAATCGTGGAACTCCATAGAGCCGGAGGTACGCCAGAATTTGGTCAAATCAATACCGAAGCGTTTACAGACCGTTCTGGACAACAAAGGATATGCAACTAAATATTAATTTCTCGATTTTTTCATCTTTTAACATTGATACTTTGCTTTGTCCGATTTTGCGTTGAACACAATAAATTGAGTTAATTTTGTTTTTCTGACGAAATTTACTGTTATCACAAGAAAGGTTGTTGTTTTTTGTATTGTTCAGAAATATAAGTAAGTACAAGTACATTTAGACATTTTTTTGAAATGTATAGCATTATTATATGTGACAACCACATGTCCGATTATTCAATGGAGCCACTGTATATTTAGAGACAGTAATTGCCGCTGATATTATAGTTGGGAGCGTTTTTAGTTTTTAATTTTTTTCTTTGACCTCGCAAGCGAGGTATTAATAGGCCACTTCCCTTGTGCCACTTCCCTTGTGAAGTGGCATAAGTGTATTTTTTCCTAATTAGATATTATTTACTTTTAAGTTCTAATAATTTAAATGTTAATATACAAATTATTATTCGAAGCATATTGTAATAATTTATTGGCCCCTTAGGGTTTTCATTACAAAATAAAGATTTAATAATAATAATAATAATAATAATAAAAAGCTGTGAACGAGGTTACAGGAACACTTTTGTGGCTTCTTGTCCTTTAATATACCATGGGAGGAAAATCAGGAATGCTAAACGTAGGTCTTGGGTTTGCTTTAGTAATCGATCCACTTTCCTAATTGTATGGATCAAAATGAATATGTGCAGCACCATACACGTCGTCGATATGGTTCGAACCAAGGAGGAGGAGAAGCTGATAGAAGATAACTAGCTTTCATCCCTACAAATTCCCTGAGACAGATGTCATAATACCGGCCATGTTGCAGCATGCAGATGATAGTGTATTTATTTATCACTATAGGTTATTTTTAAGGCTTATCTGTTTTTATCGTACATTCCAAGTCTATGGAATGAGGTACGTAACTGTAACCTTCATTCCAAAAGCCGTGAAGCCGAGTCACACACTTCCTAAGGACTACAGAGCGATTAGACTTTTTTGGAAAGACCTAGACCTCGAAATTATGAATACCATAAATTTGAACAAGGTTAACAAATCTCAACACGAAATCTGTAAATACTGCCTTACATGAGGTGGTCGGACACATTGGAAAGAATATGGAAAAATTCGGTTACATATTGACTGCCTTCCTCGATATAAAATGAGCTTTCAATAATGTGAAGCCGGAAGCTATCCATTCTGCTCTCGAATGTTCACTAAGAAACGTAGGATCTCAAACTTCCGTCTGCCTTCTTTGAGTGGAGTAACCATAAATCCTTCCTTAGAAGCAAAATACCTAGGATAAGCCCTTGACCACAAGCTAACGTGGAAAAGGAATATTGAGGAACGCACTTAGAATGATTTAATAGAAATCTACTCTTGCAAGAATTCTAGAACTAAAATGTAGGGACTAAAACTCGAGATCATACACTGTGTTGTGGCCAATATGGGTAGCGTGCAGCTAACGGCGTCAATCCTGATATTGGGCGCATTTGATATTTGGCATGCTCACAAGGTTTTCAGAGGTCGCGTGTAGGGAGATTTCCCCTTTGGGCGATTTATTTTCGAGATAGGAAGGCTTGTGTTGTGGGATCCAGTGCCTCGGTCTGGAGGGATGTGCAGCGTGGTTGCCCACAGGGTTCCATTTGCGGTCCATGTATATGGAATCTAATGATGGATCCTCTGTTGCGGTAGCTAGCTGCCTCCCTTAAGTTTTGTGCATATGCAGATGACTTGCTCATCATGATTGAAGGGGATAGTCGCCTTGAACTGGAAAATCATGATGTGCAAGCTTTGCAGATTGTTCAGGCCTGGAGTGGAAGTGGCAACCGAGAAGACAGTGCTGATGCTGCTGAAAGGTAGGTTAGCACGCAGCCGTCCTCCCTGGTGAACGTGGCATAAGGTATTCGAGTGCTGGTAAATATTTTGGAATAACGGTGTCTGAGCGGTCGTCATGTAGCATATTTGCCAGTGTGACGCACGGTTTCCACAGAGGCGTTGCAAATGCTGCTTGGCGCCGCGCCGCTTGATCTTAAGGTGGGATATAGGGCTATCAAGTATAAGCTTAAGCGTGGCTTGCAGTTGGATGAAGATGATTGGCTCAGGCCTTCTGATCTGGTGGATGGGGATAGTAGGCAATACAGCCTTCGAGAGTACGTTGTTGATAGGTGGACGGTTAGTGACAAAGGGAGGGTGACGTACCATTTTATTCGTGACGCAACGTTCGTAGTGTACCGGCCAGACTTCCGCTTCGGCTTAAGTACTGCATTCTTACTGACGGGTCATGGTTCTCTCAATGAGTTTCTGCATAAAAGAAGCCTATGTGGGTGTGGGATGTGGGTGTGGGATGACTGAGAGCTGGAAGCATATACTGGCGGAATGCTGTTACTATGAAGACATTAGAGATTTAGTAAATATGGGTATATCAAATGGCGGGTTGGGATTTCACTAGGGCTCATGAAGACCTCTAGATCGGACCTTTAGTTGTTTAAGTAGTTTTGCTCGTGAAGCATTTAGGAGAAGGACAGCACTTAGTGGAGGTGGTCCTCGGGCATAGCCCCCTTGCAGGTGGGCTCGGTCGGTTGCACCGGGTGGCGGTGGGTGTTGGTGCGATGTTTGGCGAGTCACGAACTTGTTGCCGATGGCTGTTGCATCGTGGGTTGTTCCCGGTTTCTGCTCGCTGCTTGTGGTTTTGCTGCGGAAACGTGGTAAGTGTATTGTGTCGTCCTTTTTGTATTGGGATACCAGCCCGGACTTGTGTCAAACAGACTTCGGTCTCGAGCCTGATCGGAGGTTATCTGTACCGCGGGTGTCAGGTGCCCCTGAATCAGTTGATTCAGTCTGACAGTTAGTGTGGCTCTCTGAGGAGCTTCGCTGGGTTGTGGTTTCGCCCCTTACCCCTCCGATTGGTATTGGTCCATACGGCAGGGACTTGCACAAATATGTGTCTTATTAGTGTCTGACATCAGTGACTATGTTCTCTCCCACAATGACTATAATAACATTAGAGTAAATTCCTATCATGTTTTTCAGTTACTACAACAACCAGGAATTTAGTCAATTGGATCCCATTAGAACTTTCATAAAAAACAAATCTTTTACTTTCATATTAAAATAGCATTTCTTTATTACAAAAAAGAATATAACTATATGCTAAATAAGTATTATATACACTTGCGCTGCATACATATATGATCAGAATCAAAATAACACAATTCATATTCAAATATTTCTCTACTGTTTTCTATGCTGTCATTTAATCCTCTGGAAATACTACACCAATTTGCTTGCGGATTTCATCTTCAATTTGTGCAAACAGCAGACTATCATTGTGGCTAACATTTTCATTTTGTATTTTACCCTCGAGAATACATTGACGTGCAGCTTCGGCTTCATAACGAAGACCTTCAGAATTAACATAAACTGTGTCCAATTTTCCTTTCGGCAGAACCCATTCTTTTTCTTGGCCATCGATGTCAATAATTTTGGTGGGGCACCAAAATTGTAAGAGCTAAAAATGTATAAGATATATCACAATATTTTCTAAAGTAAATATTGTTTGTAGTCTTACCGTTATTTGACCTTTAGTGCCTTTAATAATGGCATTATTATCCAATTTCGTTTTGGCACTGGTGTGCATTTTGGATTTTCTCATTCCCGAATATATCAATTCAGTTTGGACATCAATGTCAACACCCTCTGAATTTAGTTCACCCTTGGCTATTATTTGCTGTGGTGGCTCCTGGAATGCCCATTGTGACACTTGTATGGTATAAATACCCAAATCAAGAACCGTACCGCCACCCATGTCCTTTTTCCTGCAAAATTAAAAAAAAAAATATTTTTTTTTAATTAAGTTAAATAAATAAAAGAATTATTTAATATTTTACTTCAATCTATCGACATCTTCAAGTGGAAATCCAAACGACACTTCAACTTCTTGTATTTCTCCCAATACGCCAGTGGCAATTTGTTTCTTGACATATTGATAAGCCGGGAAAAATCTCGACCATACCGCTTCCATTAGGAATAATTTCTTCATTTCAGCATATTGTATTAATTTTTTGGCTTGTTTGTGATTCAAGCATAGTGGTTTTTCACACAGTATATGTTTGCCATGCTCCAACATTAGCATGCATATTTCAAAGTGTTGTGGATTCAAAGCGCCAACGTAGACAATATCTAAAAGTAAAATAGTATAAAGAGAAATTGTAATATATTAAAATATATAGAAACTTTTCCTAAGTATCAAAACAGTTGAGATTTAGATCGCCATATAACCGCAATTGACGAACAAGAAAATCTATCCAACCTTCTATATAGATTACTAATAGCCACCATACAACCAGAAATATTTCGATTGAAGGTTGGTAGAGTTTAGAAATGTTGGTTTATTTATCCATGTGAAGATTTCAACAAAGCTCAAGATCAAAACAGTAGAGATTTAGATCACCATGGAACCCCAATTGACGAACAAGAAAATCTATCCAACCTTCTATATAGATTACTAGCAGAACTGCTACCATACAACCAGAAATATTTCGATAGTATTATCGAAATGAAATCCCGATCTGTCAAATCGTCTGTTTAGGCAAACGATCCAAAATTTCAAGGTGTCGAGCGTGGATCATCTTCATGAGGAGACAAGGATACTGTCAGTACATAAGGTGTTGCTTGCTAGACAGTTCCTTCTGTCAAGTCGCCCTAACCACCACATAGTGGTGCAGGATCCTCCTCCATAACACATCCGGAAGGACATCAGACACTTCCGCACAGACATCCAAGACGTCATACCATCCGACCTCAATAGCTGCAGGTCTGAAACAGCTGCACACTCGAGCGGTGAATCAAGCCTTCGACGGATATTGCCTAAACAAAATCCTTAATGAACATCCCCCTGCAATTAGTGACTCTGAAAAGCTCCTCCCCAAATCCACTAGAACAACTGTAGCTCAACATAGATCTGGTTGGAGCACCATTCTAAATAATTATCAATCAAGAATTATTTCTAGCACATGCGATCAGTGCCGAAACTGTCACAGCACTCCTCATGACACAAATATCTATTTTCATGCCCAGTCAGGCCCACAGATTTGCGCCCTGTGGATCTCTGGGTAGTAGCCCAATATTTGCAGCTTCCAACATAATATATTCATATATATATATATATATATATATCCTAACACCTACACATACACACACATAGCCCAATAACCCACACACAAACATAACCAAAAGTACCCATATCCCATCATCACACAAATCCCGCACACTTTCCACACACTAATGAACAGTCGAACTGTTACAACAACAACCATATGTAAGTATAGGGAAGACGGTTCCTTTCCACGTAAGCTTGTGGTCATGGAATGTTCCCAGTTATTTTGCTTTTAAGGCAGGAGTTAAGGCAAGGAGTTAATAAGGCACGCTGCATTATATCGGGAATACATCTTTGGCATAGGATACAACCTTTATCTTAAGATGATCGAAATTCACCAGTATCTCATTTATCACCAGAATCCATGGTAGAGGAGAGGGAACTCTCTCAAGTAGTGTTCCTCTGTTGACAGATTCCCTTACTGAATTATCTATAATAGATGAATTGATAATTCTGCTTTCCGGCATTCTATCAATCCATTTTGTTAGGAGAGAGGAGACAACTGTACATTCGAGAGCAGAAAGTATAGTTTCATATTATTGAAGGTTCCTTCAATAATGAAGAAAGCATTGTGTGAAACGGAATTTTTCATGATCTACTCTGCCGATATCAAATGCTTCGAAACAGAAGGAACCTTCAACTCTAATTGCGGAATTCTGAGAGTGTTCCGTACAAAAATTCTTTAACAGAGGGTAATCTCTCCCTTGTTTTGTTGTAGCAGATTATTCTGCTGTGAATTTTTCTTTCTAATCTGGTTGTGCTTATAACTCCAAGTTCAAAAAGGCTGCGACCTGTACCGGTTTAATCCAAAGTGAATCAATTGCATCAGTGTGAACACGATTATATCCTGCTTGTTAGGCATGTTGAAGTAGAACTCCCTTTTATACTTCTGGATCCATCTCTCTTTCTCTCCAGATCATGAAAATCATTCGACATAGGCGTAGGGATACGTAGAGACAAAAAAAAGGATACGGTCAGAGACAAAAATAGTCGATTTTTAGATTTTTAGAATTTTCGATCTTTGGCTTCATAGGCTATCACACGGTGGTGTAGAGATACGTAGTCGAGAGCAAAATTCCATTCATAGACTTACTGATTTTTGACTCTTACCAAAAAGACGATTTATAGAATTTTCATATAGTTGTGTCTATGGACGGGTAAGTTCTTCGTCTCCTCATGAAGATGATCCACTGGAGTCATAAAGAGCTGTTGCAGTTCTCAGGACGGCATTCTGGCAGGTCCGAATATTCTTGTGTGTATCACATACATTCACAAACCACACACTGCCGCAGTTTACCACTAACCTGTCTATTGCTTTATAAGAGAAGAAATTCACAAGATCAGATAAGAAGAAGTTTAACCTCCCACAAATGTCATACAATCATCCGCGTACATTACGATCTCTATGCCGTTCGGTGGTTATGGCATTCCAGAAAGGGGTTTTTTGTGGCTCCTGGTGATAAATGCGAAGCTACATCTTCCCAAAGGTTTCAGCCTATTCCGATGATGTTGTCTTGTGTATAAGTAGTTGAATTTAGTAAACTTAACTCTAAGAAATACACCCAAGATGCTCTGAATGAACGTTGTAAACCTCGAACTTTGGATATGAGACTGTCTTCAACATGATTGGAAATCGTGATTAACCGAATAACGATAGCCATATTAGTAACAAAAAATATATTTCTACCTCCACTTCAAGGATTTCAATAATAATTATTCCGAAAAGAGAATTCTTTAAAAGTGACTCTACTTCTAGTAAATTAGTCAATATATACAGATGGCTCCATAATCGAAGTCACTATGGAAAGTGACCATTGTGAGGAACTAACCATAAATTACCAATATAAACTTAGCCAACTTTGTAGTGTTTTAAATTGAGAAAGAGGTTTGTGACTGAAAAGTTGCCATGCATGACTTACGATGACTCTTTGTTGGGTTCCAGAGAATGAAGTGACTGATGAGCTTGCGCGATGGGGAGTCACAGGCGCCCGATATACATATCGAAGAATCTGTATTACCACCTACTGGCTATTTCATTGGAAAAATCCGCAAAAGCTGGACGCAGATAGTTTGTGGAGCACAGGTGCAGAACTTCAAATTCCATTTGGCCGGAATTTTCAGACGTAGAACTGCCTCATTGTTATCACAAAGTCGCTACTGTTGGGGTGGTCCAAACACTTTTACCTCGGCTCTCATCACAAAACTAATAATTAAATAAAACTATTGCCAACACATCTACTCCAGAATAGATTCCATCAAAATATACAATTTTGCAAAGAAAAAAAAATGAAGCTGTAACATCATCTTCTTTCCCCCTACCTCCTCTATATTGTTTTTATAGTTATCCAGGATGAGCTCAATGGACAGGAGTATCCGATGTTAAAGCAACTTTTAATTGATTCCCGGTACATACTATGACGTAACTTCTTGTGGCTATTTATTTAAAAGCTTCTGAGTTGACCACTAATGACAAGAACCGGAGCTAAAATAAATACGTTGCATTATTCTGATTAAAAATAATACCAAATCGATCTCAATTAATTATCTTTATCCATGAACATCTACAATCAATAAAACTAATTAATTATACATTCCGATTTACTTACCCACGTCACTACATTCCGCTAATTCCTCGTAGCTTGCAAAGTGTTTGGGCATTTCATGTTTCTTAGCAAATTCCGCGGCCCTTTGTTTATCGCGGGCTGCCACAGCAATCATTTGATGTTCATCTGATGGTAAGGTGGATAGGGCCACACAAAAGTCATGGCTGATTTTGCCAGCTGACACAATACCCCAACGTAAAGGACTAGGCATTTTTAAACAAATTATTAATCAGGATTTTTCAAGGAAAAATCTCCACACAATCAGTGGTAGGTAACGTCCGCCAGCAGAGAACTACAGTAGGAAACTAAAATGATAATAAATAAAAATTTCATTATTACAGCGATGAAAATGCCTGGTTAATATTTACTTATAGATAAGCTTCCACTAAAATATATAACTTGTATAAGGGAAGGGATATCTGTGACCGGCAATTAATTGTATTCGTTGTTGATTTAATAAATGCACAAACATACACACACATGCACACGTCATACTCAACATGTAAAAAAGTGCCAATGCATTGTTCTAAGTACCTGTAGTTCAAACCATATACCTGATTGCGCAATTTGTTTTATCAATTCTTCCTCAATATTCAACACCTCTCCCACTTTAATTTGTATTCTCGACTCAAAATTGATCGATTTTTGCTTATTTATTTAGTTGTTGATATTATTTGAATACTTCTTAATAATAATAATAAATTGTAAACCTCTTTACCCTGATCAATATTCAGCTGGAATACTTGAAGATACCGGCTGCAATATGCACTTGCATTGGCAGAATAGAACTTGTCTAGTGTATTATTTTTGTTTATATCCCCCAAAACAAAAACAATAATAAAATAGGCCGTAGTTACACTTAGTGTTAATTGTGGCCGAAGCTAAATAAAAACGTTTTGCGTAAAACAAGCCGTTATTATTTACAGGGCTTTTTAGTGCAGAATATTTTGTGAGATCCAGAATAGTCCAGTTAAATGGAGTGCAAACAATATACCTTCCATCTTAAGTTAATAAATATTTATATAAAATCCCTACAAAAACTAATGGTGTTTCTACACGATATGTATTTTACATATGTGCTGTCACTGTTTTACATATGGAAATCCATGTTAAAATTTCAATGTGTCAAAACGATATGCAATTACAATGTATTTTTTTCCGACGCTTATTTTCGTATGTGAAACATAAGGAAATCAGCTGTTTGAATGAAACACATTGTTGGAAGAAAATATTTCAATTGCAAAAAAGTGACAGCACATATGTAAAATACATATCGTGTAAAAACACCATAAGGAGAACGTGGATGTACTTCCCATTAAAAATGGAGGATACTTTCGGAGGAAGTAAAACAATGTATTAGAAATAGGGTAAGTGCTCTTACATTCGGCTTGAATATCAACAACACAGTAAAATCTTGAGGCGAACTCTTTTATACCCTCTAAAATAAGGTGGACTTTGAACTTCATTCGGACTTTTATATTGGGGTGGCATATTACGGCTAGAGAAAACAGACACTCTGGTTGCAAAATTGAGTTAGGAATTTTAGCATAACGAAAATGGAGGCTTTTTGAACTTTTTTCCAGATTTGTAAGCCTCAGACTTACAATATACACTTTGCTACGGCCAAAATGTGCCTCATCGTTTCTTCGAATCAGTTTGATACAATTTTCAATTTACAAATGTTCGTCGGTCTGCCCGTCAGATGTCGTATGATTTCGAAGGGAGTAGCGAATTCATCCAAACATCGTAATATTTCTTCTAAACTTAAATCAAGTTCGAAGATTAGGAATATAGTGGACCCTTCTGGTAGCTTCACCATACATAATTGTCAAAATGTTGCTGAAATTTGATAATATAATGCAAAGGTCTATTCGATAAACCGAACTTTGCACAACCAAAAAATCACATTTGAATCGAACGGAAAATCCAATTTCTTACAAAATTTCCCCATTGAGATCACTTTACATGTTCTAGATCAAGTCCGATGATGAAACCCATCGGTCCACTCCTACTGATACTTCCCCCACAAAGTGTCAAAATTATCACTATTTATAAATCCAATTTTAAGTGGATGGAATGTACGATTTGAACCAAGTTCTTCACAACTGCGTATTTTTTCCAACTCTCAGTCAACTTTATCTGGTACCTCCTCCAGAATAAGTCAAAATTTTGAAAATTTTTTAACCGAATATCAAGCGATTGGAATGTCCGACTTGATACAAACTGTGCACATTGTAATATGTCTTTGAAGCTAAAATCAAGTTCGAAAATGGTGAAAATCAGTCTACACCTTCTGGCATATCGCCCATAAAAAGATAAAAATTGTGCGGAAAATGAATTATATATCATGCGAAACCTAAAAAACTTAAGTTAGGTTAGAGAACCCAAAATATCAAATTATAGTAAATTTTGTTGAAAAACGTTATTCGTTATATGGGTGCTAACCAAGGGTTAGGTTAGGCTCCACTCGGAGACCTATGGTCCATTATGACCATCTTAAAAGACGTTGTAATGAAAGAAAAAAGAAGAACACGAAGAAAGAAGTAGGGGTTCAGGTTGGTAACTTTGTACATTATTTTGGGATCTATATAGCGTCTATTTCATGTCTACCCAAACAATTGATTTTGAGGTTCTACATTCAGGTTCCTCATTCTATTTAGTTGTGGATCTTATGAAAATAGTTGCGTTCCACATCGAACAAGATGTGAGGTTATAGACTACAGAGCGTGTAATCTACAACCTCATTAATTATAGGACCGCTTGACATATATAGTCACCGGACCTAAGTCACTAATAATGCGGCCTTGATTAATTGCTAGAAATTCTTTAAAAAAAAAAACGCTACAATTTTTAGCTGTTATGATGTTTCGTAATTGAAATTTTGTCACACCCGTCCAGGGACATGGACATGGTAGGGGGCATATAATCACTTGTATTTATACTATAACAAAGTTTGTAATTTTCTGTCAAGTTTAGGACATTATCATCTACATAGTGTCCCTTTATGCTTCAATCTAAATGCATTCCTGGTTGCTTGGAAACGAGCCATTTAGAAGATTGCTGTCGAACTGTGCAATTGATCAAAGAAGCCAGGACAAGGGTGAGAGCATCCCGCCTTGTGTGGAGCCTCTGTTGACTAAACTTCGTTATGGAAAAACCCCCAATGTTAGCATTGATTATTCTGCTTTTCAGCATAACTTCAATCTACTCCACCAGGGTTTCCTGTATTACTTAGAGCTTTCAATAAAGTTTCCTCTATATAAAGAGAAGATGTCGAAGTAAAACTACATCGGCATGTGGTCTTTCGGTAAATTGTGACAAAGTTTCCAGCTAAGGGAATGAAATTCACATTTACATCCTCTCCACAGTCTTGGTATAAATGATAACCAGAGTATCCTTATAGATGCTCCAATCTTTACTATGTTTTGACCTTGTTATACAATTTTATGGTGTCCCCTCGTACCGACGCAACGTTTTTTGTCCACCAAGCCGGCTGTGATTTTTTCCCTGAGTAGTATATGACTCATGTACAGCTTTTTTCACACCACTGGTCGCTAGGAACTTCGCTTGAAAAAAGGGTACAGTACCTGTACGGACCGAAATCGATAATTTTATATAGCCATTTTGGCTATATCAAAGCAATTAATAACCGAAAATATGTTGTTCCTAAAATTGACCGATATTGAAATTTTTTGGCTATAGAGAGATTTAAGTTAATTTGGTTGAAAATATACCCAAGCTAATAAAATACCAAAAGTTTGTTCACTTATGTTTTAAATATTTTTAATCACAAGAGTCTTTTATTTGACTTAATTATGTACAGGAACTCTGCTATTATTTTCTTTAAACATACAGTGTTTTGATTAGGTTGTACTGGCAGAATAACATATGTTATGTGTAACAACGTCCACCACATTAAATAATCAAATGTAAACATTAACCGTCGTGCTTCAATTTATTTATATCAAATTGCTGTTAAATATGTTTAGAAATTTAATAAATCAAATACATAGGAGCATAGGAAGCCCACAGGTAAGTCTATACGAATATGTTACCTCCAACAAATGCCAATAATTGTTAAATTTTCCAGCTCAGTCAACAAATAAGGTGCTATGCCAAGCCGGTAACAGGTGGAGTAGCAGGAGTAGAGACAACACCAGCCGATTATGAATTACAAAAGGAACACATTGAAGAAGCTGTCAAGGCACAACCACTTCTTGCATCTGTTTCTCCACAGCTGTGGCAAAAAGCCCATGAAACTTTTGCAAATCATGGACTGAATACAAATAGTTTCTTGCAAATTGTAACGTGCAATCCAAAAGTTCTAATGCGATCACCAAAGAAAATCATTGAAACACTGGAACATTGGCGTTCATGTCAATTTGGAGAATTTTTCCTTTTTCAATTGATTACCAAATATCCCGTCCTAATGGATGTCGATGACAAACGTAGACTGCTGAAACAAATTACATTTCTACAGGGATATGTGGGTTCAAGTAAAAATGTATGGAAACTACTTATGAATTGTCCAACACTAATTGAACAGTCAACCGAGGCTATAGAGGCAAAAATTCTTTATATGAAAGAAGTAATGCGACTTGAAATTCCTGAAATTATAAAATCCGAGGCGTTGTCGAAGTCTTTGGATGAAATAAAATGTAGACATGTGTTTTTGGAACGTTTAGCTTTGTTTAAACCACGTTCGCCAAAAGCCGATCCAAATGAACCAAGTAAAAACCCGCGTTTATATAAAATTACCGATACATCGGATAAATCGTTTGCCACAAAAGTTTGTCATGTTTCCCATGCCGAATTTGAGGCATTCAAAGAATTATATACACGTGAATTGGAACGACAACGTAAAGAGGAGGAAGACGAAGATGATGACTATGATGAAGAATACGATGACGTTTATGATAATAAGGAATTATATGTGAAATAAATAGAAATACTGAGTAAATTAATAATGTCTGGTATTATTAATTGTTTAATATTCGGCAATTTAAAATTTTTCTTTAAAGACAATCCGAGTTTTTTTCAGTACTTATTCTTGAAAAATTCTGTTTTAAGTAACAGCAACAATTACTGCTTTATGACTTAGGATTTAAAAATCCTTCTTGAATATGTATGGATTTGTATACTCTACTCACTTTGAGATAAAGGATTTTTTGAGGACTATACCATTAATTTTTTTAATAATAATTTTAAAATATGTTTATAGGGTAGGATAAGAGTGAATCTCTTTCAAATATTTTAGATGGAGAATCAGCGTTTAGAAACGCATTTTTTTACAAATATTTGGAGGTATCTGCGTGGATTTTTGTAGAAAAAATTATAGGTAGTCTATAAACGTGGATATAATCTATTTTGAGGACCATAGGCATGGATTTCAAGAGCATTCTATAGAAGTCTTAGGTGTGTATGTACTCGGGTGCCAGAGTTATGCTTAAAACTTTACAGGGTCTACGTATTCTGATATTGTTTAGTATTACCATTACTTTACTAGAGGACGTAACTGTCGCTTTGAAATTGTACATGAAGTTCCGGTTATGGCCAGGAATATTTAGGGGATGAAATGGGCCGAAAACTTTTTGTGTCTCTTTTCCTGTCGCTCTAAGCCCGCAATTATAAGCCTAACATCACAACACAACCCACGGGGAAGGGCAACCGACCAACTAATTACAAGTGCTGTTTTGATAATATGTATTCAATATTATATGTAAAAGGTATCATATGGTCGGCCCCGTCCAACTATACTGCTCTGCTCACTGGCTATATTCTCATATTCTATGTAGATTTAATGTGGGAAAACATTTTTACATAAAATGTTCGATGTAGGACCATGTTTTGATATTACTTAGCGGGCTTATGACAGAACGGTTGTTGCATAAGCCGAGCTTAAAAAATATTTCCAGGCGCGTCGGTCTTGTGCGCATCTCATCCAGTTTGAATAACCATTTTCCGAGATGTTGTCTTCTACTTAATCTTTCCATCGGATTCGTGGCCTTCCCCTTCTGCGTGAACCATCACTTGGCTCGCTTCATATGCCTTTTGAGCCTGCGCATCTTCATCCATTCTATGGCCTAGCCAACGTAGCCGCTTCGGCCCGATCCGTCTGACTATGTCGACGTCCAAGAATAGGTGGTCACCATCGACGTAGATCAGCCCATAAATGCGGCTTTATAGTCGACGAATAGGTGGAATGTGTTTTCGTGGGTTTTTTGCCAGGATCTGGCGCAGAGTGAAAGTGTGGTCAATGGTGGATTTGCAGGTCTGAAGCCACATTGGTGTGGTCCGATAATGTCATTGACCATTGGCTTCAGGTGTCTGTTAGGAGGCATCTCTTGGATATAGCCAAAGCGGTAAAGGGTATCATATAGTCGGCCTCATCCGACTTTATTACTTTTCTTTATTGGCTTTCTTCTTAGTAAGCTTGAAAATTCATTTAATGAACTATATGAGCGATACACGTGGATATCAGACGACATAATAATGCCACATAAGAACTTGTGAAAGTTATATCAATCAATAACTCAAATCGCTAACAGTATTCAATTCGATATTGCACCACCCTTAAGAAATTTTACATTGAGGTTGGTTACTGTCTCACAAAAATTAAAACTTTCATTTTTCATTTTGACGATTACCTTTTAATTACTTTACACGACTTATAAGGATGTGAACTCCGCTTACAAATAAAGAAGAACATCAAAATTTACATATTTGAAAAAATAAAATCGAAACCAAAACGAATTATTGACAACAGGTATCATACGATCAGCACCACCACCACCACCACCACCACCTTCAAGTCATTAGTATTCGTAACGAAAAAAAAATGAAAATTAAATCTTCAAAAATGAAATGAAATTCCAAAAACAAAAGTATGGCAAAGTGAAATTACAAACCCTCGGTACTCGGTGCTGCACTGGTCGCTTGGCAGAAGAAGACGACGACTAAACTATGAGGAAGACAATGAGTGTGGAGGTGTGCTACAAAAACAACTATCCATCCGTTTGTCAGTCCACCCGTCCGTCCGTCCATCTGCCTGTCATGTTGTTAAACAGTAAAAAAAGGTTTATGTGTCCAGCCAAGATGTCGTTGGCTTATTGGTGAATTCACATAGCTGACTCTGACTGGAATTTACAATAAAGTGTTTGTGGACGTGCAGTTTTGAGGGTGTGTGTGTTTGTTTTTTCTGTTAGGTATAGTTTATGTGTCAAATAACCACAATTTGGCGACAAATTTCTTCTTCACACACAGAAACACTTGAGCTGGCTGAGGAGGAGTAGAACACCATAGAGGTTACGCACCTACACCAACAATCCGATGGATTGATTTTGTTGTCTTACCCCTGAACGTTTCTCGACCTCTGCCTCATGACTACGTGCCAGAAAAGCATACCAGAAACCACCGTATCCAAATCCAAAATAATACTATAAACTATGAAATTACCAATCAGTTTCGAATTGGAATTGAAACAACAAGACAACAACAATTGCAACACCAACAATGTAAAAAAAGCACACAACGTCAAGTGAGTAGCAATAGAGCCATACATTTAATATGGTCATAAATAGTGACATTAAGAAGTCAGTTTTGTATGTCTGTCGGTCCGACTATGGTATGGTGGAATTTACACGCAGCCAACACATATCGAAGACGCATTTATAGCTGGACTTGGTGGTTGTGTGTTTGCGTGTGCTTGGCAATAACAAATTGTGAAAGTGAAAGTTATTTCTTTCTAAATTCTTGGGCATATGTTTCGTTTTCTCAAAGGTCTTCTGTTATACTGAAGACCTAGACCTAATAGGCTTCTTGGTAGGATAATTGATAACCCCAATTCTAAAAGAATGGGATTTTATACTCTCGCGTGAATACTATAAGGTGTAGTGTGTATTGAATTTGATATTTCATTTGCAAGACCTCGAAATAGTCAACGGAGACCCATTAAGGGTACATTCTTGATCGGAATACAATTCGATGTCGATTAAGTCATGTCCATCTATCTGTTGAAATAAAGTGCTGGCAATATTTCAGATATTTTGCACACACATTGCTACTACTCCTAGGATCTTTAATATTGTAAATTGGATATATCAATGCACGTTTCGGTATAGTCCCCATATATTCCCCAAAATTCGACATTTGAGAATTTTGTGTACGATTTTCGACCGCATTCTCTGTAATTTGGTATTTTGGGTTCCCTTTTAATTTTTCGGTATATGTCTCATATAAGGCTACACCTCAATTTTCGGTATTTTGAAAGTTTCAGTCACGTTTTCCTACCAAAGTGACAGCAACATGGCATTCCGGGCTCTTGAGTGGAGGAAAACATATTTACAGAATATTTTCAATTTTAGTCCATTTTTTGCCATAACCCCATATGAAGGCTTAAGTCGTTTTTTTCCTTCGAAGTGACAGTAATTTGGATTCCAGGTACTTGGAGGTAAATTGTTTTGTCATAGACCCCAAATGCAGGTCCAATTATGTCGATGTCATCGGCGTAGGCGAGTAACATAGGCTGTTTCGTGTACAGAGTGCCATTTTTGTTCACCTTTGCATCTCGTATGACCTTTTCCAGCAGGATGTTATGAAGGTCTCACGAGAGGCTGTCTCCTTAGCTGAATATACGTTCGGTATTCGCTCTGAATGGATGAATGCCTTCCAACTATCACAACATGATCAATTTGATTTCTCGTTGTTTGATGGAGAAATCCAGGTAGCCTGATGTATATCGAGGTATTCGAATCTGGTGCTGCTAACTACCGTGTTTTTTTGCTGCCGCGAAGTCAATCAACCTCATGCCTTTGTCTAAAGTCTTTGGTTCCGATTTTCCCTTCTGATTTTTGCATTAAAATCTCCTAGCAGAATGTCATGGCCAGGGATTATATGCTTTCATATGCTGTTTCTATCATCTGATCATCTTTGTTCTCATAATATAGGCTTTGTATATATACAACGTGAGCACATTCCATGTCCACATCGCGTTCCTTTATACGTTGTTTTTCCCTTTGTAACTCATCGAAATAATCATTTTCGGCCCTATATTCTTGATCAGCGTAAAATTCTTTGACGATCTAAGCATGACGGTCTGTCTGTTGTAATCACTCTAGCGTCTAAACGAATTGAGATAGAATGTATTTCAGAACAAGTTCGAAGATGGGTCACCTTGAGTTTTTATTGAGTAGCAAATATTCTGTCATTATACTTCATTCTCACGATTCTCAGTAATACGGAGTGATTTTAAAGGAAATTGCAATATTTGACTCCAAAAGCTATTTCACTTATCCGATATTTTCAGTTGTGCTAAGTTTCACTTATGCGGTGTAAATTGTGAGCGATTAACCTAAAATGGAATGGTGCAGGAAATCATTTTCACTTATCCGGTTCAGTTAAGCGACTTACAGTAAAGCGGAGTCGACTGTATCGGATTTTAATGGACTATCAGTTCCACAAGCGTGGATTTTTTTTTGGATATTCAATTGCTTTAAAACGTGGATTTTTTAAATAGAATTTTCAAAATGACTATCAATTTTTCAAGGATACTCCCAGTTCAACAAGCGTGGAAATTTTAATTTTAATTAACAGACAAGGACTATCAGTACTTCTACAAGCGTGGATTATTTAAATATAATTTTTAAGGACTACCAATTCTACAAGCGTCGATTTTTTAAATGGAATTTTGCAACGATTATCTCACTTTTAAAAACGAGCATTTTTATACCCTACACAACTATGTTGTCAGTGTATTATAGCTTTGTGCAGCCCCAAATGTTTGTAACGCCGCGAAATATTGGTCCTAGACCCACCTTTAAGTATACCGATCATCATATATCGACTAGCTGAATCGATCTCGGTGTAGGATGGATTTTGGTCAATGAAGACCCCTATTGTTTTTGGTAAAGATCGGTTAATATTTAGGGGATAAAATGGACCAAA